CTCTTCTTCTTCCCCTTTTTTCTTTTTCCTCCATCTAAACCTAATCAAGTCCAAAAACTGCCTTCTTTTTAAGCTCCTCGTTTTCGATCAAAAAAATATACAGAGAAAAAAAAAGGAAAAGAATCACTGTACAGTACTTACATACACCTGACGCCGCGTAACAGACACTTTGTTTTTTTACTAATCTAATGATCCTAAAAAAATGCTGTAGTCTTAAAACGTCATGTGATCGAAATTCTGTTTTTAGTTTACTCCATTATCCAACAATCGACTGCCTATACTATCGTACCATTTTCACCTGTTGTTAACGTTGTTTTTGCTGTTGCCTGCCGCTTTGTTATTTTTACTACCACTGTCGCAGCTACCATTACTACTTTAAAGCAAATGACCATATATAAAATTTAATGCAAAAGGAAAAAAAAGCATATTTAGCTGCATATAACAACCAATAAATAAATGAGCATTGAATCCTACAAAAAGTTTTTACAAAAGGTACTACAAACAATATTAAAACAACATAATTTGCTTACACCGTATATAAACATAAATATAAATATATGTAATATTGTGTTCATATATATGTATAAAAATATATATATATATATATATATACGTATACATATACATATAAATATATATATATATATATTTATATATATAATATATATATATATATATATTTATATATTTATACATATTTATATATTTATATATCTATATATTTATATACTTATATATTTATATATTTATATATTTACATATAAATGTATACAAATGTATACATTTATTTAATGCATATCCCACCCCTTAAATCCAAATAACAAAGCAACAATCCAAGATTGGTTATAACACCCCGAAGCCAACAATGGCAATTGTCTGTTGCTCAATGATTTTTTCACAGCCTCAACCATACATATGCAGACAAATATGGCCAAGTGGTTAACTACCTGCAACGCAGAGCAATAACACCACATCAGTACTGCAGCAAAATATGCTTTAATGTCCATCCATATGTGCGTCTTTTTTTGTTTGTTTGTGTGTGTGTGAACGCGTGTGTGAGTGTGTGTACGCGTATGTGTGTCCGCGTGCATTTATGTTCGCGCTTCGGTGTACTGGTTTGTCTGTGTTTTTCTTGTTGTCGGCGTCAGCTGTATAGTGTCGAAGAAATAAATATATAGCTGCAAGAAGATGCATATTTGAATATTCACTTAACCTGAATCAGGATAAGAAAATTAGGCTGCGTATCATCTTCAGAATAATATCAAGCAGGTCTTCGATGCTTGTTTAGCGGGAAAATTTGGGTGTTTATCTTACGCCTTGATCCACTTTCTCAGGCCTCTGTGCTCGGTTCGGCATTATTTGCTCGTTGAGGTTTCTCGGAAGTCCAAAAAAAGAATGCGCAGTTTACTAGTAGTTGTTTTTTTTTCTTCAAATTTCTTTTTTTTTTAACGCTTTTTTTATTTTCGCCTCTGTGATTTTCTCACTTGTGAGTATCTTGCTACGTCAGGAGTAAGTGTGGGACTGATAATGCAACAAAAAATTTGGAGGGCACTGTTAGCGTTTTCAGAATTAGTTCAGACGAATTTTTTTTTTTTTTTTTGGCTGTTCGTTAGTTTTTTTCTGAGCGTTCCTGTTGCATGTTGCAGAATAGGAAAGAAAAAACTCTTCATACAGTAATATTTTTTGGATGGAAAGTTTGTTTGAGAAGTATATCGCAACTACCAAATTAATCGAGATGGTAGCGGTACTTAAGTTGCGGAAGGGCGAGTAAACACAAGGATTTATTTTTGCAAATTTGTACATTGTCTGAAGCTGTTTTTATAACACACTGAGTATGTTTTTAATCTGTCTTTATGTGTGTTTTTTTATATTTTCCCTATTTTTTTGTTTCTTTCAAGATAGTATAAATTGGTCAGTGTTTTCATTACTAGATTGTCTGTATTAGTTGAGCGAGATGTTGTTTTGCAATTGTTGACATCACTTGAGATATCACTGCGTGGTATAATGTATGATCTGTAATCCAGATAGGTGTCACCATGTTTAAGCTTCGTAAATCAATACTTTTATAAATTCTTGGCTACTTTTGTTATTTGTGTTGTTTTGACAAAGAAATATTCAATGTCATCGCTTTCATTTTGCGACTAACTACGAAGGAAAAGATTGGAAAAGTACGTATTGTTTCTGGTTATCTTTTGCCTGGACCAGATTATTTCTTATGTATACAAAAATCAAGTTAGCTGTCAAGAGTTGTGCGTAAAAGTTTTTATACTTTTTTATTGCGCTTGTTTCGTTGCTTAGATAAAATGCTACTGCATTATTTTTAACTGCGTTGCTTTAATGTAGAGTGCTTTGTGTGCTTCTGTTGGACAGTGCATTTAGTTATGATGACTTCATGTAGATGAATTCTGGAGTTCTTTTCCTAGAACTTTTAAGATTTACATCAATTTGAAGGTTTTTGCACTTGAAAACTCAAAATGGGCGCTTGTAACCAGTCGCGGTATTGATTATTATCTAGTGCGGTATAATTTGCGGAGGATAATCGTCGAAAAGAATATTTCCGCAAGTTCATAATGGTGGAGTACGGGGTGAATGTTGCCAATAAGTTTGGGTTTCTTTCTGATGACGGTAAGTCTAATTTTTTTTCGTTAGCGCCTCCTTCTTAATAAAACTTCTTTAAAGTAGTATTTCCGTCTAGTAAGTTATTTTTTCAAGAGTCGGAAGACATTGAGGTCGTACTGAAAAGAGCAGAAGCAGCAAGTAAGAAGGAGGAGAAAACGCAGAAGAAGGCAGATAAAAATGCTGCAGCAAGAAAAAAGAAAGAGAATCTTGCCGCTCAAAATGCTACCGCTCGAGAAGCTGATCTGAAAAAGACGACCAGCTTGCCTTTCAAGAAAGCCTCTGACGGTTCATAATTTAATTTACTTATCGTTTATTTTGCTGTTATCCGGCAAATTGTTTGGTTTTCTTACTAAGAATAAGTGCAGATTACTCTGTCTGATTTGTCATTTCACCTGTTACTCTTCTCTTCTTTGTACATTGCTTTCTTTGTGTTTTTGATTTTGATAATGATGTCCGAACAGCATTTGACATGGGTCTTTTACAGGTAATAAAGAAAACCATCCTGAAGGGCAACCACGAGGAGGTAGAGGGCGCGGTCGCACAGGACGTGGCCGGGGAGGTTTTGGGCGTGGCGGTGAGCACAATGAGCGTAGCGATCGCTTAGAACGAGATAGTGATGGGGTGCAGGTAATAAAATCCGTACTTTTACAATTAGTCTTTTGCTTTTTTTCTGAGGAAGATTTTACAGTGGCTTTGTCGTTTGATTTTTGGTGTTAACACTTAAGACGTTAGGCATATAGGATTATTTTTTTCCAAACCCGCGTATTAAAATTTAGGAAAGGAAGTTATTGGTAATTTCATTTCTGGGTTTTGAATTTGTAGTCGTGTCATGGCAGCTTTCATTTCCGGGTATCTAATTGTATAACTTTAGAAAGATACGTTTGGAGACCGTTTTGGCGAGAATATAGCTCCAAGAGGTAGAGGCCGTGGTCGAATTGGCCGTGGTGGTCCTAGAACTTTGTTAGTCGTTTTAATTACTGTTCTCATAAATGATAATGGCGTTCCCGTAGCATTATTTATTGAAATATTCCATTGTAGTCGTGGAGGACGGGGAGCTCGTCAGCCTATAGAGGGAGACCGGTCTGGTGACGAAAATAATGAGTTAGTGAATCATACAGATCGTGATGTGGAGAATGCAGGAGGTATTTTGTTAAAGATATTGTCGGTTAATGTGTGAAGTATTTACATTTAATTATCCGGGGCAACTTTTTTCAGACTGACAACAACTTAACTTCCTCAGCTTTTCTTTCTTGGTTGCTATTTTGTCGTTTTTAAGGATTTTTACCTCGAGGGGGACCACGAGGTGGTCGTGGATTTCGTGGTGGTGACCGCGTGTTTCGTGGTGGTCGAGGCGGCAGAGGTGGACGCCAATTCGATCGTTCAGAGAGACCGCACGACAAGCCAGACGGCGAAGGTAATGAAAGTAGAGGACAGGTTGACAATATTTCTGGGAATGATTTGGCGAATGTCCAGTCTAATGAAGGTAGTGATTAAGGTTTTTTGCGTTTAAGGTCGGTTTGTTTGAATGTTGGGCGGTCTATCTTCCTATTTATAGTTCAAGACAAAGTGGATGACGTACCAGTACCACCGCGCGAAAAAACTGAGGAGGAGTTGCGAGCGGAGGCTGAAGCGGAGGAGGCCGCAAAGCAACTCACTTTAGATGATTACAAAGCACAGTTGGCAGCAAAACGTCAGCAACCACAGTTCAACACGAGGAAGGCCGGTGAGGGTTCCAATGAGAAAGAGTTTGGCAAACTGGTCCCACTTGCGAAAGATACTATTGAAGATACTCCGGAAGAAGAAGTGATTGTTGTGGTTAGTTTTTCGTGTGAACTGACAAGGTTGCTCTTGAAAATGTTTGTTCTTGGAGAACAAAACATCCTTTACTGCCAGTCCCCTTCACTTCAACTGTTTCGACTAACAGCATTTTTTAGCGTCGTGAACCTAGAATAAAGAGGCTGGATATTGAAATAAATTTTGCGGGAGAGCAACGCGGTAGTCGTGGTGGTCGAGGTTCAGCGCGTGGTGGTCGAGGATACCGTGGTGGAAGAAATGAAAATCGTGGCTCGCGCCGTCATGATGAGAATTTTGAAATGTGGGCTAGTGATTTCCCGGCGTTGGGGGCAGGGGCACACTAAAACATGATACTCTGGTTTGATTTTTTTTTATTGCGGTACGCTGCTTCCTATGATCCCACATCGTTTAGCTTTTAGATCCTTTTAGAAGTCTTCGCCATTATGGTGACTCATTGTAGTGCTTCGCACAGTAACCACTTTGTTGTCTTACTTTCCCTTTTCTTCGGAAACAGTTGAGCAATTTATCTGCCAGCCGTTTCTGCATCGTGCCGTATGTATTACTACCAAAAGTGATCTTTCAATTACAGATATGGTCTTAGTCAGCCTTCTTTTTTGCCAGGGCGGCACTTTTGCAAAGTTCGGCCTTTGTTTTTACTTTTCAATCGTTAAATTTTTGTTGTTAAGAGAATTTGAAATATACATAAAAATTTCGAATGTTGTTTGATTTTTACCACAATACCACTCTGTAGGATTTAAAGCTATTGGTGGGTGGGGCACTAACTCGTTATTTCTAGCAGGTATTCAGCGTAATTTTTACTGGGACTGTTCGTACTTAATGGTGTCTGCTCGTCTTTGTTCACTGTTGCTGAAAGTTACGCTAAATTTGAAATACTTGTCCAATACTTCTGGTTGTGGTGTTGCATTAATCCTTGTAAATGTCCAGTTGCATTTTGAGGTAAGGGGTAGTTGAATTCGTAGCAGAGTGTTTTCAAATTCCGGATAGATAGGCAGTCATGCTAGGTTACTTTGCTTAGGAACGGTTTCGAAATAAATTTTATTGTTCGTGAGAACATGGACAACGGCAGGAGGAACTCATCAAGGCGTGGTTTCACTGTATCACTCCCCTAGGACAGCGAAGGACTACAAGAGGAGGCGATTGAACCTAATTAACAAAAAAAAAGGAGAAATCCCAGTGTCCCAATGAGTTTGACACGATGGTTAGTAAAACAGTTCACTCAACGCTTAAAAGATTATTTTGTGTAACCGTTGGCGACTCAACAAAAAAGACAGTGCCTAGGAAATTGGTTACTCATACATCAGTAAATCGCAGTTGAAGGACCCTTGCTTCAGTGATATGGTCCAAAAAGTTACCGCTACCACCAGAAAATGGCAGGCTAATGATAAACAATGTGAGATATGAAGTCTGAAAGTGAAATAGCCGCTTCGATCCGGTCATCTGATGCAATGAAAACACATCGACAGTTTGGCTGCTCCAAAGCGACTGAAAGCACTGTTGATACCGTGTCCGTACCCTGCAGAAACCTAGCAGGCGGTCGGAAGGATATCACATCTTTGGCGGTGTAGTTATGGAAGCATTCCTGCAAAATTGCATAATCTATACTACTGTCATGGATTCCCGCAAGGCGGTGGCTACCAGTGACTGAGGAAGAAAACTGATGAGAGGAAAGGCATAACCTTGACGTCCGGAGCTGAAGAAATTGCAGCAGCAATATCAAATTTGCTAATTACATCAAGTGGTCGGCCGTTGAGATCAACGATAGGAATGCTTGAATAATTATATTTTATCATCATATTCGCTACATCTTCGAGTTTATCGTTTTCTGTGAGCTAAAATGAAAAAAGCTGAGCCTGAGAGTAGATAGCCGACAGACTAAAAGTGATGATTCAAAACAATGCATTTGTTCTCCTAGAAAGAACACTCAAAAAAAGCCATTGTAAATACAGTATAGTACAAAGTGAATCTCGCTCCAGTTCCCGAGCCTCGCATCCCTGATGTCACATTCCATCCAAAGAGCAAAATGTAGTGAGCGGTTCTGAAAAGAATCCGGAAGCAATTAAAATCTAGAACGGACTGCAATTTCTACTTCGTTGTCCTGTAGTGATATCACAATTTACACTTTGAATATGAGTCTTTTACTTCCAAATACAACCAAATAACTGCCAGGAATAAAAGAGCTAATAATTAAAAACAACACAGGAATTACGGAATACTAAGAATTGCCTGTTTGTGTATAGCTTGCAAAATCCTCCTTACTGTTAGTAAGTAAAGTATATCACCAGTAGGTTCTGTAACAGCTATTCTGTGAATACTTTTCGTACAGAATAATTTGCTTGCTTCTAATAAGCTGAAATTTCACTGTGAAAAAGCATATTATTTACAGCATTTGAGAATGACTCGTAAACAATTAATACAAAACTGAAATAGAGCAACGTTCTAATGCAAAATCAAGGAAAATAATTTCTTACTTGCAAGAAGCGTCTAGAGAAACGAGTGGTTTCACTGAAGTCATGTCGCCAATAGTGGACGTCGAAGGCTTGCTGTCAGTGAGGAAAATTAGAAAATCCGTTAAAGTCACAATAGAAACTACATTTTGTTCAATTTCTGACCAGACCAGAGCGGCACTCAAGCACCAATCCGACATCGCTCGGAATGCTTTATTCAGCTGTATAAAACGCAATTAATTCCTGCTCGGAAAGTTCATAGAAAAGAATGCTTACCTTCATGGACTCGTCCAGCAACACGACCGAACCCTTATGCGGTGCCAACTCGTAACAGTCAACGACTTGCATGTACTGCCTGTATGGATCATCATGTTCATCTAAAAAGAAAAAGCTTTCAAAGACAGAAACTCTATCACGTAATCCTTCAAAACCAAAAAGAAAAGAAGAACATTGAAACTGCTATTTCTTTTGTTTAAAAAACCGTACTGAAAGCCTCAGAAATTCTGAAATGTTTTTTGGAGATACTTAAAAATGGTCACTTCCGAGAGAAATATTAAAGGCTTACCAACAAGCCCTACTACATCGACTGAGAGAGGCCGTGAAGTCTTCCGTAAAATCAAAAAGTCCTAAAAAACGTTCAAAAATAGGCAGAAAAAAGGCAAATAATTAAAAAGTTGTTAATAAAATATACGGAGCTATGCCACAAATCCATCAAAAACCATCAATTTATTGAAAATCGTGAAATCTTCGCTCAATTCAACTGTTTTGGTCAAAGAAGTTCGGATACTGTCCAAAAATAAAATGACTCACTGAACTATTTGAACGTGGACGCCGAAAAGCCAGGGAGTCATTATAGACATCATTCGTCTCATCTTCTTCGCGTAAATCGTACACTGACTGCAGCGGGCAATTTTCAATCTAAAACTTCTTTTAATCTCGTTAAAAATGAAAAATTAAAATCAGGAAGACTGAAATTTAAAATACCAGAATGATACAGTTTCGATCGAACACAAAGACAAAATTCAACTTACTTGTACTTTCTTTAGGTGCCGAGACTTTAACTTCTCCGAAGTACCTAACGACTCGCTTCTTTGTCTACTCATAAAGTCTCGTATACCTGAATAAAACTTCATTGTCTAACTGAAACATCTCTGAAACAACAAAAAAAGAGCTATCTAGCACAAGTCCCAAGTAGCAAATTCATAGAATTCACTAGATAAATAAGTTCACGATACATAACATTTTAAAATTACCATCCAAAATAAGCATCATCTTCACATCGCATCAAACACAGTCATTCAATCACTATTAAAAACCAATACACACACTGCTAGAAAACGTCTTTTTGCCA